AGCATGGGACTCAGAGGCAAGAAGACCTGAGTTCAAATCCAGCTTCAGACACTTATGAACTGTGTGACCCTAGACAAGTCACTTGATCACCATCTGCCTCAGCTCTCTCATCTGTCAAATGGGGATAATAATAGTACCTGCCTCTCAGAGATCTTATGAAGATCAAATAAGATAACATGGGGGTAAAGTACTTTGTAAACCTCAAAGTGCTATATAAATTCTAGCTATTATGACAAAATTATATATATATTACATATACATATATATATAATTATTATAGCAAAAAAGATAGTCAACATGCATTGATTCAGCACTTCCTAAGGAGTGACATGAGAGAAGTGTGGCCAGCCCGGTTGCAGTCAGAAAACCCCTGCTACCGCTTTCAGGTGGGAAGATGAGCTGCCAGGTGCCTGCCAGATACCCCACCTGGATGTTTCACAGGCATCTCAGACTCAACCTGCCCAAAGAGAAAGGGGCCACAGCTCCCCCTTTCTTTAAGGTAAGGCCACCACCATTCAGACAGGGACCTAGATTAGAAAGCCAAAATCGTCCTCAGCTCTGCCTTCTTCTCAACTCTTCATGTTGATTCAGTTGTCAAGTTTTGTCTGAACCACTTCCACGTTTCTCATAAATAAGTGTCCCTTTCATTTTCCTCTAGGGGCCATAGGATCTCTCTGGGCTCTGCTTTGTGCCTTCCTTCTCAGAAAACTCATCCTTGGGAAACCTCATTATCATGAAGATTGCATCTGCCTGGTGCTCGCATCTCATCCATCCCCTCGGCTCCCCAGCGGACCCTTTGACTGGAAGGGTGGGGCCATGGGCTCTAGAGACTTCATTTAAGGAGGGGCTCAGCACAATCTCCTCCCCATTTCCCACCAGCTCCAGTGCTTTGGGAGATCTGTGGACTTCATCATACCTCCTCCCCCTACCCGGGTGTGTGTGTGTGTGTGTGTGTGTGTGCGCGCGTGTGTGCGTATGTGTGTTCGCGTGTGTGCGTGTGTGTGTGTGTGTGTGTGTGTGTGTGTGTGTGTGTGTGTGCTGTCTCCTCTCATTCGATTGTAAGCTTCTTGAGGGCAGAGGCTTTCCTTTTTCACTTGTATTTGTATCCTCAGCACTTCACAAAGTGCCTGATACACTGTAGGCATTTCACAAACGTTTTGCCCGGCCGACCCCAGCTCAGTCCCAGTCACCCCTTGCCTGGACTGTTTGCAGTGGTTTCCTGCCCCTCCCCCTCACCACTCCATCCTCCGCTCAGCTGCCAAAATAAACTTCCTAAAGCACAAGGCTAACTGTCTCACTTCCCTGCTCAGGAAACTCCAATGGCTCCCTTCTGTGTCTTGGCTAAAATGCCAGCTCCTTGGCTTGGTAAGTTGTGCCCAATCTTGTTCCAACCTAGTTTTCCAAGTTTTATTTCATGTTTGTGCCCTTCGTGTACTTGGCATTCCTGTCAAACTAGCCTTCCTGTGGTTCCCAAAACTTAACATTGCATCTCTTACCTCCAAACTTGTGCACAGGCCATGCCTTCTGCCTGGTGTGCCCTCCTTCCTCACCTCTACCTCTTAGAATCCTTGGCTTCCCTCTAGTCTTAGCTACCCTGCCATTTCCTAAGCAAAGGCTTTTTACTAACTGTTAGTCCCTGGCTATTAGTCCTGTCTTCCTCCATGAGTGACCTAGGCTTCACTTCTTTACAGCACCGTCTCTCAGGAGAATGGAAATTCTTGGTGGACAGAGCTGGAGTTTTTGTGCCTGTCACAAGGTTAATACTTCAGAAGTATATAATGTCATTAATGTTTTTTCCATTTGTCTAAACCCTTGGACCGAGAAACTGCCTTGTTCACCACCTACTAGCAAGAGGCCACCTGGACATCCTCTTGAGTGAAGTAGAAGGTGCAATCTAATTATTAGCCTCAGGCACCACCCCCTCTCCCCATCACACATAAAGCCTAGACTTGGCACCTCAGCCTTTGTGGCTCCAAAGCCCAGGAGCAGAGACTGAGGGGAGGGGAGGGGAGGGGAAGGGAG